GAAGTCGGAAAAATAACCTGTCGTGAAATTTTCAGTGAAATTTTAATTTTTTTTTTTTTTTGTGAAAATATCTGCCAAATATCCAATTTACCAAGTTTGCCTAACACGTATGTTTTCATTTTAGATGTTGTAAGGAGTTATTCTGCCAACGCGGATGCTTCTTTTTTCCGAGAGGTCACCGAAAATGGCGTCGCATTGACCGAGTTTAAAATATTTTTTCCAAAATTTCAGAATTTATTTGTTAATCGTGTGAGTTTGTAAGAATAAAAAATTTGTAGAAAAAATGTAATTTTTTATATAAGGAAAAAGTTGTTGAAAAGGCTGTTTTTTACCCCCTAGCTATTGAATATGTGGACCCACTGCTATTAGCACATTTGTGCTTACAATGAATAAAATCAGATAAAAATTCGCCCTATACCTAATATAATTAACAAGCCTTATGTACCTAAACTASTACTACTTCAGCCTTGTCCATCCACATTATAGAAGATTTTGCCGAAGGATCTTGGTTTGCGGGCTTACAAAACCTAACTTGTARACTCCAAACGGGATGGTTACCAAACCGATCCGATTTCTACAAGAATTTTTTTTTTTTATCAAGGATCCACAAAAAGTCACTTCTTGATGTGCTTTATGTGCACAGGGTTTTATTGGTCCACATTTCTTCAAAAATGCAGCTAGCCATAATGTTACAGTCAATGGGGTACCAGAATGACTTATTCGTAACTGAATCAGAAGTTGTTGATGTGGATAAGTTTTGGTTTCAATAAGGCGACGTTACATGCCACAAAGCCAACGAAAAACAATCAATGTACTGAAGCAGACTATTGGCGAGCCACGTTCTAACATCGCTGAACTTTTTTTTTTGTGATTATGCGGAGACGCTTGTCCTCGCAGATAAACGCGAGACGATTGACGCTTTGGAAGAGAATATTCGATATCCGGCAATATTACTGATATCCGGCACCAGTTGCCGCAAAAAGAAGRCGAGAATTGAGCCCTTTGGTTGAAATTTATGCGAGCGCAACGCGGCGTTCACTGGCCTGAAATCAGCGTTATGGCAAACCTCTGTACTTAAGTTAAAGCTAAATTCTTGGTCATAACAATAAAATATATGTTTTCTTTCATTTCTTCATGAAAAAATATGGCGCAAATAAACATATAATTACGCGAAATAAGGATAAAAATATTTCCATACTAATCAATTTAGAAAAATAACTAAAATTCTAAATAATATGTATATATTTATATACAAAAAGGTCAAGCTCGCTAAAATAATTATGATTTACACTTTCCACTAACAACATTTTCTAAGTACGTTTCAAGTATCTGAGTACAAATATCCATTTCCCAAACAACACCGTACTGCTTGAAAGGATCCCATAAGAAAATCGTTAAATAGCACCAAACACTGTTACACAATGCATTAAAAAGGGGCGAATCCTTAATTATTTGTAAGTACTAGCCTACTTTCATACCTTTGACTTAGCGTTTYATCCTCTTATGGCAACACATAGCGCAGCTACCGTTGAGCACTTGCTTAATTCAGTTGGCACGCCATGTATACCTTTAAGTGTTCTTAAGTGCCTGTAGAATGCTCTCATATCCTTATTGTATATATACATAGATAGTTATGCATTTGGCTGGCAATGGTTAAGCCTTGACGCCAGTTTTGACTTTAAAWCTTTTTGGTTGTGACTTCCATTGAATCGGCTCGTTCATAAATGTGACCAAACACAGCCTGAGAAGAACCTGTTCCGATTTCAAACAGCATTAGTTCCAGCCAAAGCAGTTAGTCATATGCCAGCGTATGTATATATGTATGTGCGATCGTGGTCTGACATTCCGTAGTGTGGCAGCCAGTGTCCTAAGTGTGATTGCCSAATTTTGTGTAAGCGCCGTGCGCTGTCATTGTCATTCGTTGTGCGAAGCCAGCACCGCAGGCGACACTCAATGCGATCCTTTGCTGACTGTTTTCCGGCGCTGCGACGGCCACGGCATACTTAGGCTTCACCTATGTATGTATGTTTGTATATGTCCATATGTATGCGCATTTACCTGTTGTACAATAAAAGAAAGTGTACACGCATATACATAGGTGCGTCTCACTTGCTCTCAAGTGCAGTGCGGCTGGTGCGTCAGYGAGTGTACGTTGTCTCCATCATTTTGGTGCGCAGCAGCTGACGTSACTGCTTCGGGCGCTTACGCGCTGCTGCATATTCACTGGCACCATTGATGAAATCGACTTTTTATATTGACTTTTACACTAGCAAGAGGCGGCGATGTCTGATTGTGCGTTGACCGTGTGTGTGTGTGTGCGTGTGTAACAGTGTGTGACTGTGGCTGCTGGTCTCTTCCGGACTGGATTTTCGGATTAAGTTTTTGTTTACTTTAAGGGGTTTTTTAGTTTGTTTGCACACCTCATGGCAATCAGTTCAGTTCGTTGTTGTCCAATTCGTAGTTTCTTATTCTCAATACGATTGTCTGCCTGCAATTAACCACTGAGTCTTTGTTTCGAAAAAACGGTTTTAATGCGACGCTTTGCTTTTAATTGCAGCAATTTGTAATTATGCAGCCTCATTGTTCGTCGTGATTTTTAATGTGTATATTCAGAGTCAAATGCATACATACTATGCATCCATATATACATGTTCGAGTGCTAAATAAATTATTGGAGTTTTATTGTGGTTATAAAGTAAAGTTTCTATAAAGAATATTATCGCCTCTTAAATGCCACGCAACAGTGAATATTTATAAATAAACATGTRTGTAGTGCAATCGCATTTGGCAAAAGCGAATAATTAGTAAAAAAGTTGTACACAATTTGTAGTTGAATAAAGAAAACACAGAACGTTTGCAAAAAATATTATCGCTCGCTATTTTTTAAAAATATCGCATGCGACAATGGGCATACTAATGATTGCAAATGACAACAATGTAAGTGAAATAAATATTTAAATAAATTTTTATTGTGGAAAAAAGTCTAAATCGTGCATAAAGTTAAAATTTTCTATAGTTAATGACAAAAACTACATTATACACAATACAGTGTAATTCTGTGGCAAAATATGTTAACATATAAATTGTTTGCAATAAGTTAACAACTACAGCCTTACATTCTATATACATATRTTATATTTTCACCTAAAYTGCAAAACAASGTATTCTCAAAAAATTCTAAAATAATTTTTTTACACCTTACGCTTCACTACATCATATTACATATGTATGTAGCATACAATTTTCAGTTGCCGCTGTCAGATATAACCAATTCCTGACCGATTTATAACGATTTTATAACCAAAACTCAAATTTTGGATTTTTACTCTTGTGCTCAGCAGAAAAATAAACCAATGCTGGATTCTTGATTAATACGCAGGTGTTAGATGATTTTTTTTTTATAAAATGGCGGCTACTGAAAAATAAAGCTCGATTTTTTCAGAAATTATTTAAGTTTGTCGAATTTTAAAAATATTGCAATTTCAAACTTTTAATTTTTTGTAGTTAGAAGAGATTTATAAAAAATATTTCAACTGAATTGGCTGGTTCTAAAAACTTAAGATATTGTGGTAAYTGTAACGAAAGCAGCAGTTTCGAGAAAAACGCGTTTWAAATTTTACTTCTAGACAACTMTTGTTGCAAGCGTTCGCWAAGCYGGTGCAGTTGCCACGAAAATAAAATTGCTTTAACTTCGAAAAAATTCGAATTTTGAAAAATTTCTATAGAGGGATATTTTTGAATAGAATTCGAATTTTGAAAAATATTTAGGGGGGGATATTTTTTTATATCTATAATAGACTTAAATCTATACTAGGAAATTTTGAAAAAAATTTAGAGTTTTTCAAACTTCCAGACTGGAATAACGTTTAAGTGTGGTAGTTCAAAAAAAAATATCTTTTTTTTACATATTTCGTTAGATACTAATATTAAAAATAACATACTAAAACTTATAATGAATATTTTCCATATTTTTTAGTTACGGCTTTAGTACAATCAGCCGCTTAGTACAATCAGCTCAATCAGTTTATTTTATTATTAATTATTATACATTTTCCAAATTGGCTGCAGTTAGAAATCAGAAACAAATCACGCGATCACTGCGCATTTTTTATGCTAATTTAGTATATATTTCAACGTGAAATGTGTTTGTACATAGTACATATGTATGTATGTATAACAACAAAAGTGCTCTCCAAACTTGCCACAGAAAGGCATTACAACTCAACTCATTTTATAAATTATCCACAAACAATAACTTCAATACATAAAATTAATTTTTAAAAATCTAATTTTATAAATATCTTTACGATAGTCTAAAGGTTGGCTTTAATATTGCCACACAATTCAATACAATGTTTTCCGGAGCCTATTATTAACCTAGCCTGCAAAATATAAATTGTGACAGCAGTTATACAAACATATATACATGTACAATATTTAAGTTTGGCGACTTTTTATATAAAAGACAAGCTATAATACCCTTCACAGTTGCATTTCATATAGCGTAAAAGTGTATAAACTTACTTTTTATCCGTCAGTTTCTATGACGGCTATATGTTATAGTCGTCCGAACTGAACAAATTTTTCAGAAATTGTAGCGTTTCCTTTCAAAACAATTTGTGCGAAATTTCATGAAGATATTTTGTCAAATAAAGAAGTTTTCCGTAGATAACTAGATTTTGAGTTGTAATGTTATATGGCAGCTCTATGCTATAGGTTTACGATCTCTGCACTGTAAACTAAAATGCCGGTCGGCGTCAAGTTTTTGTATGAAAAAATTTTTCATTTAACATTTTACCAATTCGTGCTTTTTCCATACAAAAACTTGACTTCGAACGTTCAGTTTGCATGGCAGCTGAATTTTAAAGTGATGCGATATCGGCGATTCTGGCAAAAAAGCAAATTTATAGAGAGAAAAGATGATGTGCAAAAATTTAGTTCGATATCTCAAATCAAAAAGCTACTTCATCTATAAAAATTACCGGACAGTAAATTCGTTTCTCGTATATTTGATATTTATTTACAGCAYTCGTTGATATACTTATACATAATCATTTCAAGAATCATTCTAACATTTTTACTTAACATTATGCTACTTAACAGTAAATAAATAAATAAATCTGTACATATATGAAAATCCTGCTGAACTATATTTTTTCATGATCATTGCAACAGTCAGTGTAACATCTGTCTCTTATACACATCTAGATGTGTATAAGAGACAGACATTATGCTACTTAACAGTAAATAAATAAATAAATCTGTACATATATGAAAATCCTGCTGAACTATATTTTTTCATGATCATTGCAACAGTCAGTGTAACATTATTATTGTACATTATGCTAATTAACAGTAAATAGACATATGTATATGAAAATTCTGCTGAACTAAAATGTCCGATATAGTGTTAACTAAACAAAGCACTGCATTATTTCTTCACTGATAAAGTCTTTGAAATTTGAAACATTTACGCAACGCATATAATTTTATCTAAAATTTTTTCAGAAAGCTTGCTACATTGATTTAAAAAATATTTGCAAGTGCGATTATTATAATTTTTTATTCATTTTTTGGTTTCATATTTATAAATATGCACACATACATATGTATAAGTGATACACTTTATTTTCTGCCAATAAAAATTTTATAATCGCACTCAAGCAAGCGTGTAAGCTAAATCTACTTAAAATTCAGTGAAGCACATGCTTATTAGTCATCCGGTTGCACGCACAGCGCATCACATAAGCGCGCCAGCGCAGTAAAGAACAAAAACAACAATAATAACAAACAACAAACACATCCTTTAACAAGATCACCCAACTGGCTGCACTTCCTTCGCTGGCTTGCATTTGTGCTACGAGAGTAGCCAACTCTCACGCACACAAGCCAACACAGCAGCCAGCCTGCATATATAGCATATACATACATACATACATACATATATACTCTGGCGCAAAGCTCGATCCTTGGCAAAGTATTAGCAGCACCACCTCATCTTCGGTGACGGCAATAAATAAAATCCCAGCACTTGGCAAATGCAAATGCAAACACAAACGACCCGCCACCAGACAAATTGATCCACTCGAAAATGCATTAAGAGTGTTTTCAAAGCGAAATTCCGCCAACTAGTTCCGCACCCTTGTCCRCGACCGMTTTGCCACACAAAGTAAAAGAGACGCGCGGTTAGCGGAGCAAGCGCCCAGCGTTAACAGCTAGCAGCCGTGGTTTGAACTAAGTTGTAGCATTGCCTGTCGACAGCAACAGCGGCAGCTCCATTGGTTCTGAGTGCCATGTAATGGACGGCGGCGCCTTTGTGCGCAAGGAAAGCTGAAAGGGTTTGACGTTGTTGTTGTTGTTATTGTTGTTGCTTTAGTAGAAAAGTGATCATCATGTATAAACCAATTTCTCGATATTATATACTTGACTAATATTTTTATTTTGCAAGTAAGAAACATTTAATTCAATTTAGATTTTAACAAGAAAAAACGTTAACGTGGCACGGAAACTTRTGTACAAGTGCTTGATTCCAATCGTTCAGTTTGTATGGCAGCTATATATATGCTATAGTGATCCGGTAACTGGTATCGGYTTCATGGAGAGAAACGAACGTGAGCAAAATTTCAGRTCGRTAACTCAAAAACTGAATGACTAGTTCGCGTATATATATGGACAGACGGCCAGGGCTAAAACCACTCAGCTCGGCACCCTGATTATTTATATACACATTTTGTGAGAACTTCGAAGTTTTCTTTTTGATGTAACCTCGTGGCAAACTGTCTCCCGTTCAGCATACAAATTTTCAGTTGGGATCCCGAAGCTATCTTTTTCTATATTCACCCACAATACGCTATAATAATGATCACTTTAATACATTTCTCATAAACACTAACATGTATTTGTATACCCTACATATTCAAAAACTTCATTATTACCCTTAACTTCTGCTAGATAACGATCTGCGCACCACACCACGATCAACAATCTCTCACCAAACTCACGCACCTCATATCAGCATTTCTTTAAGCGTCAGAACGCCTCTACCTCTCGAAACATGCAACACTTAACATTCGGGTTCGGGTATTTTAGCGCTGTGATTTTTCAACTGCCAATCGGCAATAGCACCCTCATCAGCGCTCTTCATCAACTTCCGCGCAAGAAAACACTCATCGTTCGTCTTATACACCCGCACTCGACTTTCGACGAGGATCACTTACTTGGCCTCGCTTGAGAGCCACTTCACTCCAGTTCCAAGTGCTGATCCTTTGTTTGTTTTTATTTGCATCGCTTGTGTGACAAATTATTAACGATCACCACTGGCACCGGCTCCGGCACCACTTTAGTCCCTTTTTTTATGGAAATTTTTTATTGCTGTTGGCTTAATATTTTTGCTGCATCTGCAATCTACATTGTTCCTTTTACGTTTTTAATTCCGCTCATTTGTATTATTTGATTTTATTTTGTCATTATATTCATTTGTGTGTTGTGTGTGCTCGTTTTTAGCCTCCTTAATGAAACCTTTYTTCTCTTTTTGCTCTGCTTCTTCCACCTTTGCCTGTTGACAATGCGTAAGTTCATCTCCGCTTCTTTGCCGCACYMCACATTCCATTTACTTTCTTGTACGCGCGCTGCGCCATCCGGCACTTTTGGGGTTTGAAGTGGCCGCCACTGATCTTGCGCCTTGTTGGCAGGTTAGCCGCTCGCTTTGATCAACTGATCTTGCTAGCGACCGGTGGCCGGTGGCCGGGCTGGTGACTGGCGTCATTATCCACGCGTGGTCTTTGTGGCGTTGCTGTTCGTTTGTTTTTGTTGTTTGGTGGGTTAGCTTATTACTTGATAGAGCCGTCTTAATTTTAAAATCACAATTTAAATTATTTTCTGCTAAATATTAAATATTTCATTGTTTGCATATTTCCGTGTGAAATGATATAAATTGTGACGTGCTGTCAGTATCCATTTATTTATTTTTTATATGCCTCGACTTCGCGTTTATACTTGTTACCGTTTTTTCGCACCATGTTGGCTGAAGATCAAAGTGGACGCCGCCGTATTTAATGAAATCATTACGATGAGTAGATATCGGATATTCACGTAAAAAGTGTTGAAAGGGTCGATGCCGTACTCGTTAGCAAAGCATTTTGATGTTACGTTTTGCCGACGGAATGTCAAAACCAAGAGTTAAGATATAGAATAAAATAAATCCTTCTGAAACCGTTTTAGTAATTACTTTTTTCCTAAGAAGKCATAAATTTATAAACAAAGTTAAAGTTCTAGCACCAAATTTACTTGTTTTGTTGTTGTAGTAGCGGTAGAATTGAAAGTCCTTGGCGAGATAAAAATCCGGGTCCGTTCCGTCGGAACCCGACTGTCATGAAACGGGTTGTTGTAGTAGCGGCAGAATATGATATAGTGGTGCGATCAGAACATTGTCCAAAATTATCATTTTTGGCGAATTTCTCAAAGATATTTTGTCAAATAAAAAGTTTTCCACACAAGAACTTGATTYGGTTAGCTTATATGGGARCTACATGCTATAGTGAACCGATAATGAGAATTCCGACAAAAATGCAGCTTCTTGGAGGGATCGATATCTCAAACACTGAATGACTACTTCGAATACATATATAGAGACGACTGAGAGTATTACGCTGATCATTTACGGGCGGTCTCTTTTACTTTATTGGGACTCCAACGTTTCCTTCTGGCTATTAAAAACTTAAAATACCCTGTTCAGAGTAGAAATACCAACTTTCAACACTCCTACATAGTACACGAGTCCGGCTATTGACCAGCGCCAAAAGGTTTCTCTGTATATTTTTATAATCAGCATTTCTACCAGTTCGTGTTTTTTCTTTAATGTTATACTGAGCAAAACTTTAAGGGGAATCATTAGAAAAATACTGCATACATGAGTTTAAGTTATCATTTAATTAAACTAGTATATAWATAAGACTATAATTTTGCTAATTTCAAGATTTCACCTCAATTTGTCTGGACCACTTCCATTTATTTGCTATGAAAATTGAAAATGAACTTATGTTATTGTTAYTGTAAAGTATATACTATGTCTCATTTACCCGCATCTTTCGACCCCATTCTCAACAATGGCGATTGTTTTAAGCCCAATAATATCATGGTCAAACCCAATAAAAACAAACGCGTGGGCGACAGCACATCAGCGTAGTCATCGCACTTGAGAGTTGGTCTTGCATTGGTAATGCCACGACGTGGACTTTCCTTTTTGGCCAACGCTGTTGTAATMATTAGCAGTAGTAGGAAGACTTCAGTTTTCATGACAACAATTCTTTAACTTGATTTTAGATCAAATGTATGTATATGCAATTTTAAAATGTTGCAAAATAATTAATTATTACACTTTTTAATGCGTTTTCTGTACGAGCATATAAAAAATATTATTGTATAATTTACAATTTTGTGAATTTAATTTTGTAATTCTGTTATTGACACTCATGCTTGCAAAAGACAAAATTTGAAAAGCTGTAAAAAGTATTTTATTCGCTGCAGTTCTACAGTCGTTAAGTGCGTCGTGTTGACTGCATGAGGTTATTGGCGAACAGCATAGCCGAGTGCCATACATTTTGTGGGTATTGCCTTAACAGTGATTGATATCATTTACAGCAATGTAAGCATTGAACTTGAATAGCAATTAAGGCAAAACACACAAACAAACATAACTCGTTCGTTTCTCTCAACAAAGCAAACGGTACATACGCTGTTTTGATGCTTGAAAGGCAATGCAATGTAAAACAATGTAATATTAAACATTGCTTTATTGCCTAGCTAAAAAGCAACGAGTGCGTCATAAACTTACTGTTAAAAGCGCATAAGGAAAGCAATGTTAAAAAATCTTTTCGATTTAATTTTTTATAGCCGAAGTGCGTTTAAAAACGTGTACAAAACTATAATATATAATTATAGTACATTTAAAATGCGCTTATATATTTATAATTTTATGAATAATAGAAATAAATTATATAACATTTATTATTACTTTGAATGCTATATATGTATACATATCTATAATAACACAAAAATTCAACATTATTTTTAATATTTATGCCTAGCAAAGTGATATACATACATACATACATATGTATTTATAACGAGTAAATCTATCAGCACACACTTTATTTTAAGTTTATAACAAATTGTTTTTACTATGTAATTTTTATAAAATAACATATCGRTATGATAAGAACGCCAATAAAAAATAATAACAATGCGCGCAAATATTTGCATCATATTGACGACTTGATTTTCTTTGCCTTAATTTGCCTACTTTTGCAATATTGGTTTGCAGCAACAATGCTGTGAAACATGTTTCTGCATGTTATTGCAATTGCTGCACTCAGTGCCAACATGTATTGAATTTACTCGTTGAGAACAAATTATTGCATTGTTATGTTAAACGAATTAATGAYTTGAAACACGCTATAATTCCACTTGTGCAGCTCTCAAAATACATACATATATCACATATACATATTTTTTATATTTTTACTTAATAATTTATCAAAAATTAATAATTTGTTTCTTATGTAATCGCTGTAATTTATGTACAGATTTTCGCCAATGCACATAAGGCATTATTTTCGAAAACCATTTTCGACATAACTTCAAAATAAAAATACGTGTGCTCTTAAACTTGAAAAAATAAAAATGTTTCAAACCCATTAGCACACTTCGCCTGGTCAGCTGGGCATCTGTTTTCTGCAACGGTTCTTATTTAAATTCATTTCAACTGTTCGTTCTTCAGTTTTCATACATCATCGTTATTTATTCTGGATAAGATAAAAGCATTACGCCTTTTTGTCGATTTTCGATTTTTGATTTACAATTTATAGATTTATCACGTAATGCTGACAAATGTAGATGCCTATATACAAGTACAATGCATACATATAAAAAAACATATTCACATACACACGTAAGAATATTTGTACGAACGCAGCTGGATACTTGAGATCGCTAAGCATACATATGTATGTATGTATGTAGGTACATATGGACATTTGTGGAATATGATTGTTTGTAATTATATACATATATACATATACATACATATGTATGTGCATACGAACTTGCGTACACATAAATTTTAACAAACTTGATAGCTAATTTTTTGCTAATATATTTTATTGCATACATTCCGACATTTTTTCGTTTTGATATATTTTTTGTATTAAATTTTAAAAATAATTTTGATGTATGTAGTTTTATTATTAAATATTAAACAGAAACGGCTGATTTGCTCAAATTATAAATCTTTTTTCATGCGAACACATGTTTATAATATAATAAAAAGTATAWTAGTTTTGTGTAAATATTTGTGATTGCAACAACAAACTAGCAAACAATTTTGCATGTGAATTCCTTTTTTGGCAAAGGCAATTCTTCAAATTTTTCTCTGTCTCAGAGCTTACGCATGTCAATTTAGGGCATTACGAATGTATGTATGTAAGTCAAGCGCCATTGTAGCAAAACATTTTCTTTTTCCACTCGCAGCTCGTGCATGCATACGCAGAAAAAGCGAAAGAATGCGTAAGRAGCACAATAAAAATTATTTTTTCTAATATGAATACACACACTCACTCCCGTGTCGAAGCGCGCACAAACTCCTATAAAATGGAATTGAAATTGACGTACTCAAGAGAAAGGAAAAACTATAAAAATGGTGGCGATGCCTTGTATTGATTTGCTTTATGGGGTGGTTCCTGCTCTTTTCGTCGCTTTAGCCAATCAGCGCCAAGCATTTCGTTTCCATTTGTTCACGCTTGCGTAYAGCAGATGGCAATGCACTGACAATGTTACGTTTAATTAAGCAATTATTTGCCTCACACTATTCCTAAAGCGCTTCCAAAAAATCAGTAAGAAGGGTTTTCTTTGAGTGAGATTTGAACTGTTAGAATTTTTGGAATTGATATTGAATTAATTAGACCGGGGTTTTATACCCAGAAACGTTTTTTCTTGTTAGTAAAGCTTCTGCGTTTTGCATTTGTTTAACTTAAAATATTTTGCTTGGACTTAAAGAGCATTATTTMAATATGTACATATATAAATGCGTAATGAAATTAACTACTCATTATTGTTACAGATATTTTTTAAGTGTATAAATTATTCAAATATTATTCTAAATTCTATCCTCTACTTTGCAGACTTCTCCCACAACGCCTCAAACTTCGCCCAGTGATCATCATTCCCCGCAAACGCAATTTCATAGCCCATTGACACGCCAAGCGTACAGCAGCCACCTGCCTTTTGGTCAGACAACTGTGTTAGAACAACAACAACAACAACAACTCTCCACAAAAATGTATCACTCCAGCGCCGGTTACCCGGATCTGACGGGTGGTGCGGCTGGCAACGGCGGCTATCATCATCAARCAGCTATGAATGCGCCCGTCTATGTGCCCTCGAACCGCGCGCTCACACAGAGCCAGTACAATCATGTGGCTACACATTTTGGCACGGCCGCTGCACAAAACGCCTGGACAACAGACAGTTTTGGCACAGCGCATGCGCAACTGCCGGCACAATTTTATACGATGGGCTCTTGGCGTGCTGCCTACGATCCGACCGGCTTTCAGCGTTCGTCACCCTATGAGAATGCGATTGATTTTCAGTTTGGTGAGGGACGCGAATGTGTAAATTGCGGCGCGATTAGTACACCGCTATGGCGACGTGACGGCACCGGTCACTATCTGTGCAACGCTTGCGGTCTCTATCATAAAATGAACGGCATGAATAGACCGCTTATCAAGCCGAGCAAGCGACTGGTGAGTGCAGTGAGTGTTCGCTTTATAATTTTCTAAAACTTACTCTCGATTTTGTTTCTTCTCTTTTACTTTTGTTCGTTGCATGCGTATTTTTGTTTAAACTAGATTTTATCCTTGCAGACGGCAACTCGACGGCTGGGCTTGTGCTGTACGAATTGCGGCACACGCACCACAACGCTTTGGCGCCGCAACAATGAAGGCGAACCAGTGTGTAATGCCTGTGGCCTTTACTTCAAGTTGCACGGTGTCAATCGACCACTAGCAATGCGAAAGGATGGCATACAGACACGCAAACGAAAGCCGAAAAAGTCAAATAGCTCGACGGATGGAGCGAAAGATAGCAAAGAAGATGGTGTGTAACAATGCGACAATTTTCAAAACTCACAACGGACATCTTAACTAATAACATTTTATTATTTTTAGATTTGAAAACTTCGCTCGCCTTAGAGCGCCACAGTTTGCCCTCATCGRTGGCGCTCTCTGCCAAACTGCAGTCCGATATGGCACTTAAAGGCAACAACAGTCTCAACAACACAATTAGCAGTATGAATAGCAGCAACTCCTTGCATAACATCAGTCTGAATGCCATCAACAGTTCGCCATCCTCCAGCGGTTCATTGCACAATCCGCTTAGCCATCACATGCATTTGCCCTCAGCAGCCGCACAACAGTCCCGCCATTCAACCATTTCACACACACACTCACATGCGCTCTCCTCCACCAGCAATACACCCACCGTACACTCAGCCAGCACTGCGTCATCTCTAAGCGCGCACATGTATTCGCCGCAAAGTAACGCGAGTGCTGCGCAACTGTCCAGCACAAGTTTCGGCTCACACGTTATCTCCAAGTATGAGCACCTGCTTTCGTCTAGCGGCAGCGCTAGTGGCGCGGCTGGTGTCAACAGCAGCATTGGAAATCTCAACAATTCCTCCACTAGCGCTGTCTCGCTATCCAATGGCATTGCYACCAGCACGCCCAGCCCGAATTATCATCACTCAGCCGCGGCGGCGGCGCATCTGCATCACCACCATCATCATCACCACCCAACCGCGTCGGCGGCGCATCATGCCGCGTCACATCATSCGGGTACACATCAYTCGGCGGCCGCATTGGGCCAACACAGCGGCAGCTCACAYATCAGTTCGGCTGATGGTAATRCGGCTGTTGGCGGTTACAGCGTCAAATCGGAAGCCAATGCCAGCAATTATGATTATGTGAGTAACTGCTACTTTGGTGGTTCTTTTCCGCCATTGAGCGCCTCCAGCGCTGCGTCGGCTGCCGGCGGCGGCATGAGCATGGGCATGGGTATGGGCGTGGGCATGGGTGTTGGCATGCATGGGATGCACGGCTCAACGGGCGAACTGGCGAGCTACCACCATCATCAGCACAATGTCATACAGGCGGCCAAGTTAATGGCCACATCGTAAATGTATGTATATGGGATGTGTATGTGGAATGTATGGTTTCTCAACAGCGTGGACTTTACGCGTCCTCAGTAGGAGATCTGGCAAGTTTCATGTAATGTATTGTTTGCAACTGCGATTTTAGTGTTATCTCAACTTTATTGTACAAAAAATATTTTTTTTATAAAACCAAATTAGTTTGTTAGAAATATTAGCAATATAATCACAATCAAACTGTATCCCAACTGTAATAATTAAGTGTAGTAATTTAATTATGTTTCGAGTTTTGCAAGCAGTTGCTCGTTTTCTCTGATCTGCAACAATCGATTAGTAGTTTCAATTAGATCTGCAAACAAATTACAAGCATTAGCCTTACCAGCCTTATAGACTTTACATGCCTACATTTAATAATTAATCACTCATGTGTTTGTAAGTAGTTTTAAAATGTATTATATATGTATAATATTAAATGCCAATATGTTAACTGATTGATATCGAATTGTATTATAATTAGCATTAGTGCAATATGATGAAAAGAATTCTAATAAAATGTGAAAACCGCAAGAAAAATTCATTGTATACAAGGAACTCTAACTTAGAACTTCAATCGGGTRAAATGAGTGAACAATAGTTGAATATATGTAAAATGAATAATGAAATTGTGAAATTGTGAAATTGTAAATCTAACAAAAGGCAAAAAATTTCATTATTCAACAATATTTAGTTTGTCGTCTTCAAAGTTCTTCAAAGTAATCCCCACACAAAATATTTAATCCCCACTATGCACCTATGCCAACGATTTTCCTATACACTTTTTGCGATGGCCTTCAGCTTCTCAGCTCCTTCAGCGATTTTCATTTTATCTCTTCGATATCCGAAAACGGATTTTCGGACGACAATTTCAGTTTGCTGCATACGGTGTTTGATCGATGGTATTCATTGCGTTTTGCGTTTCAAATTCGGCCACAATCGTGGCTCGATGCGATGATTGAGTATCTATTTTCATCATCGTGTAAAATCAATGAATATTTCTTCCACAATTACGGTCGTTTTCGACGGCTGTTCTCACCCAAACGCCTCAATGCAGTCAAATAGCATTCCCAATTGACCATTTGCTTTTTCGGAAGAAATTTATGATGCACCAAACCACGAATAACGAAAAGACAATGAGGATCACCTTGATTTTTGGGCGGCTTTGGGGTGGTTTCTTTGGTTTTGTGACTATATGACTTGTTGCATGTCAAACTCATAAAAAATGTCTCATCGGTTCTCTTTTTGAACAAAAAAAATCAGTTTTAACCGAGCGAGTCCCGCAAGAACGCGTTTCATACTCAAAATATACACCAAAATCAGTCGAAAAGATGTTGCGCTCTCTTGCCATCTTTCTATAATCATATCCGTCACTTCTTTAATATTTTCATCAGTTCAAGAGGTCCAAGGTCGTCCTTCAACGATCTCTCGACCATCTTTGAAGGCTTTGTTTCACTCGTAGGCTTGTGTTTTTGATAAAACTGAAGAAGCCTACAGATCGAGCTCATATTTGGCACAGTAACTAAGGATAGTCCTAAAAAACGTAGCAAAATACATTTTTTTAAATATAATTTACCCGTGGAATATAATTACAATTTCCGGTTTCTTTTTCGTCGCAATGTATAGTCAAAGTAGTGTATTTTCTCTACTTTTTATTAAGCTAATAACACCACTCAACAAATCTGAAGAAAAGTTTGCAATGTGCGAAGAGCTGTGTGGGGGTAATTGCGGTGTCCTGATTACGAATTTGAGTTCAAAAATATTCCATCACGTACAGCATTTTTCTCGTTTTAGTAAATGCCGTTGGTTTGATCCCTACACGCTTTGACGACAACACAAATAATTCTACGAGTTAGGAAATTTTTACTATCATTTTCGATTTTAGCAATCCAAAATTAGCTAGATACAGCCTTTAACATCACAGTCGCAAAATTACTGTAAACTAATGTAATTAAGATAATTATTGAATTTAACGCTGATCAGGGAAGTTTATTGTTTACATAAACATACATATGTATATTTACATAGAAATATGAAAACTCATATTAATACGGTAATAACAAGCGCACATATGCATCTCAATAGTATGTAGAAGCATTTTTTGCCATGCACATAATAATATGAGAGAATGTAAAGCAATGAAGCGAATTAAATTTTGYTTTCGTTCTCTGCTAATATTTCATCAGCTGATGAATGTCAACAAAGTAAAGACGCGAACCAATGCATTTATAAAGAAATATCTCAAACAGATGGCGCTGTTTATATTGCTGCGTTTAACCCTTTCATGGCGTATTAACATAAACGACCGCTTTGAAAAAAAAAA